TTCAAGACAGAGCTGAAAGTATGCACAGTTAAACATTTTAGATGCAAAAGTAAATTAAAACTTCTGTAAATCCAAATATAATCGAGTGGAAACTGCTTATAAACACAAGGAAATGCATGCAGTAATGAGGATAAGATCTTGAAATGATGGGAACATTATCTTTCCTTGTTATTGCACATTAATTTCGTTTAAAAGTTATTTTTATCTCTGTTTTCTGCACCTTATTTTATAAATAAAACAGAGGGGAATGGAGAAGTGATGGAGAATTCTTAATAATCCATTTCAAACTTTAAATAGGGAAAAAAATAATATTTTGCTTGTGTTGTTGTCACTGGCGTGTCCTTAAAAACATTACTGTCTTCAAGTTACACAGAAAATTTTATTTCTGTTTGTCGCTACGAGTTTTGTCGTAAAATCATCTTCAGGTGGCGCACAGTTGCATTTTGCGTGGACCGCTGATTAATTATTCACTTTCTATTGATTTTCGTAGTGGAAATTAATGTAAATTATGAATCTCAGTACATCATCTGCATTTTTGTCACAATTTATTTATGGCTAAAATATTCAATTACTAACCAAACTGTTACGATCAGACTGACTGAGATTGCTGTATACATGAGCACAAGTTGAGTGTACTGCGTCATGGACAGTATGAGGGAAGCTAATCTGTTCGGGTCTTAGCGTGGATTTTAAAGCCGTTCTCAGCATAATAGGTTGAATGGAATTTTACTGATATCAATGTGTTGCTCATTTCGATATTTTGCGAGTCCTTCATGTGTGTGAAGATGGAGAGGTTTCATAAGCGTTCCATATTATCCCCCTGGGGACTTTTTTCTGTATCCTTAGTAGTGTTAAGATCTATTGTAGGTGTGCTTTTTATTCAGAATATGTATAACCTGTGTAGGTAGATTTATCCCTGTATAATCTCCTCTCGTTATCGTTATTAATAATATTTTTGTATTTTATTGCGGTCTCTGCTTTTGTAATATGTTTGATAAATTTTGTAACATATTGTTCACTTTAATCAGAAGCACGAATTTCATGCGAACGATATTTAAGAATTAATTTCCTTCGTCTTCATTACAAAGTTTAGTTGGTTAATACTGTTTATGTTAACAACCATTGTTTATTCTAAGAATCATCCGACTCCATAAATATACACAGGTTGTACATGCAACTGTTACGATGCTTCAAATAGGTAAAAAACATTTCCTACGATAGAGTCGTAGAAAGGTTTGTTTTCGTTTGAATCTGTGACTGACATACGTATAATTGAGATCTTCTTCTTCTATGGCTCTCCGGTCCGTATCCGGTCCATGGCCTCTTCAATTCTCCTCTTCCATTCAGTCGTTGTTGGCCTGTCTGTCTGAGGTTAAGGTTTTGAAACATCTTTCTTTTTATGGTGCAAGGTTGTTGGCCTTGCGACCAACCCCCAACTTGGAGAACCAGGGTACCTGTCTTAGTCTGAACTCTCCCCCTCGACCAATCTGGCTAGGGAGGCCCCACCAGTAGCTCTTGGGATCACTGAGGTACTCAAGCCCCACCACCAGGACAAGGTGCAGGTACCATTAAGTGGGGATAATTGAGATCTATACTGTATATTAACATTCCATCGTGAAATTGATTAAAGTCGCTGAATAACGTAACACTTGTCCATACTAAATGGAAATGCATCAGCAAAAGATGATTATCTATCAAAAAATTTAACACAGAAAATAAAAATTGTGTTTCAGTAATGTTTTAAGGGATTATTGAATGATGTCCCAGAGAACCAACCAGCGCAAAGAAGTTCAACATTTTGAATGGTACATATTTTTACCTGAGCAAATTTACACACAGATTACATGGAACATTTATATACCTTCAATCATTGATTTAATGCCACTTGTTTCGGTGACTTACATCTCGTTAAATATCTTATTTATTACGTTCAGTATAAAATAGCCTGAAGCACGTGTCACTACAGCACGTGTGGAAAGTATGGTTAGCCAAGTCAGAATCTTTAATACTTCTCATGGTACGTTCATGTGCATTTTGCAGATATATTTTGAGTTCCTTCTTGGTTATGTACATTACTGATGGCATTCATCTGTCACTAGAGTGGGTACAAGCCATTCATGTTGTACTGAGAAAATCTTTACTTTTGACGAGACGATTGATAATACTGAACATATTAATTTCATTGATGTATATATTATTTTATTGCATCTGGTGTAACTGATCTTTCTCATCCATCCGCACTATGCTTCAATCCACTTCATACCATCATTAGGGGTCAAGCCTCTTGTATAAGGCATTAAAAGTTTTATATGATTGTTCTATCTTAAATTAGTGATAATTAAAATTAATTCTACATTCAATGCCTAGTCCTTATTCTGTGTACCAATTAATTACTTTTGGTCAATAAAATTATGAAAATTTAAAATTTCTATTCACCATTGATTATTTTGAAACTATTTACAATGTTAAATCAGTGACATAATCAACTTCTTTTTCTCCCGTTTATATATATTCATACTTATTCCTTTCACAATCAAACAAAAATTATTGTATTATCTCCCGTCTACTCACTTTTGTGTCCGCCATTTATTGTCTTTGGCTACTTCTCGTACAGCCCCTAATCTGTAACGATGACAGCTACGTTATGCTGTACAACATTTATTGCTGTGTGTAATATATGCTGTTTGATACCCGCATCAGTTGGGTTTTGTCTATAACTGAAGTACTAGATATGCCATCATCTCTTCATCCTGCTAACCGATCAACGCGGTTTCCGCGTAATCTCATACGGTGCCTGTTGCAGCTACATTTTATATCATTTTATGTGATTGTTGAAATATTTCAGTCTCAGATGGACTGTTGTAGCAGCACTGTAATAAAATAATATATACTGAATTTTATAAATTGGAAATACGTGAATATTAATTTGATTAATATATTTTGTATCTAAAATTTTATTCTTATAATTTTATTATCATGCCTCACATATTAATGTTTCTTCCATCAGCAACTGTATGAAAGTTGTACCAATTCATTTCTGTTACACACATGGAACAGATGTCCCAAGCAGATAAAAAGTTTCTTTGAAAATACCAAAGATTCTGTATTTGACATTTACTCCTTTCCATTGAAGCTGAAGAGATGAGATTTATACAATTCGCATACCGCATAAAGAATAAAATTTTGTAACAAGCAGGTTTTGTCGTACATGAGGGAATGAAATGTGAACTGCTTATAAAAATTCTTCAAGAGGCAGTGGCAATATATCAAAGGTGGTTTGTATGTATGTGTTCTGCAACAGCCATCTAGAAAGTAGGATGTGTGGGTAAAGTTGTTGGGAAAAAGTTTCTACCTTTGCAATTAAATTACATTTTGTATCCCCTGGTCTTTGTCAAGGAGCTTATTTTGATAGCTTGACAGTGTTTGTGGACATTTACATTACACACTTTAAAATTTGTTAAAAGAAAATCTACACGTCTAGTATTGGTTGTTTAAGTGACATCTGTGCTGTAACTTTTGTCCTACAGCTCACATCAGAGGTATGAAATGCTATAACCACTGTATACTTGGAGATATACAGGGTGGGTGGGAAGTAAGTAGGCATTGAGAAATGGTTATAAGCGATTATTTAATGCCTACTTACTTCCCACCCAGGATGTAAGTTGTTATCTTCCATATTTATTGTGGCCTACAAAAGGATGGAACAAAATAAGTGCTGATTTTTTTTCTAAGTGTTTATTTCAAAGGAAAATGTGCGACAAAAACATTTGTTTCTTGCTTGAAGGAAATAATCATTTCCATCACATTGTATCACAGAATTGTGATTATGGTTCTTTGTTCTATGGAGTGTATGCTATAGCTAATACAGTGGAGCAAATCGTGTTTCTGGGTGACTTTCATTTTATTATAACAATAAATTGAAAATTATTTAAGTCACAGTTCTTGAAGTTTGGTCATTGCTGATCTAGCTTTAACACTTGTAAGCTTATGATTCATTTGATGATGTATTTATTTATATGCATGGCTTTATTTGTCAAAATTCATTAAGCTGATCACCTTAATTTATTATAGCAACAGGTTCAAACAGTACATACAACATTCAGTGTTGATATAAAATTCTGATGCCTATTTTAGTGAGAAATGTCAGCATACATCGTAAAATAAAATTTAGACCTGAAAGTAATATACTCATCTCAGAAATATTTTTCTTGTCTGCTACTTATGACAAGATTGTAATTGAAGAGTTCATGCAAGATTTCCAGACTTATGCAACCACATTTATTCATAAAATACCAGTATTTCATAATTCAAAAAGATACCTTAAAATATAATGAGTCCAGCATTGATAAGAGCATACACAGGGCTGTACAGGGGTTTGATCGTGACCCTGAGTGAAACTATCTCATTTATTCACAGACTACCTATTTGTATTCCCATGGCCTTCAAATAATTGGAAGATTTGTTGGTCCATGTTTATATGTAAACAATATTTTGTGTGTCTGTAAAATAACTCGTTAGTTTAATTGGGTTGAATTTGAATAGTCTAAAGATTGTTATTTTTACTGCTGTGCTGTTCTTCCAACAACAGTTTCTTAAACTAACTTAATACAGTATGTTGTTTCTGTAAAACACCTCTATCTGGTCTCTCTGTATTAAAATAAAAAATAAGTACCATTGTATCAATTTTATGGCACGTATGACTGTAAGTTGTTAACACTATTCGAATAGAGAACATTTTAGTTAAAGAAGGTATACAGAGAGCATGATGGCTTTGTGCATTCCTAAAAGAGGATTTGTGCTCTGTACTGAAAGTTCATACATACATACATAGGAGGGGCAGTCAAAAAGTTCCAAGAATTGTGGTATAGCACTGTAATGGTAGGACATATGGCAACACTTCAAAGTAGGACCCTTGCGCACACACACACTTTCTCCACTGATCCTGCCATTGTTGGAAGCACTGGCGGAAGGCTTCGTTTGGAATCTTCCGGAGTTCAGCCGTCACATTCGATTTGATGTCCTCCATGGTTGCGAAACGCGTCCCCTTGAGGCCCATTTTCAGAGTAGGGAACAGCCAGAAGTCACTGGGAGCGAGATCCGGAGAGTATGGTGGTTGGGTGATGACGGGAATGCTTTTCTTGGCGAGGAATTGCTGCACAACCAGCGAGGTGTCGAATGCGACGGCCGAACTCCAGAAGATTCCAAACGAACCTTCCGCCGGTGCTTCCAACAATGGCAGGATCGATGGAGCAAGTGTGTGTGTGTGCGCAAGGGGCCTGCTTTGAAGGTGATTAGGTAAGCGTTGCCATATGTCCTACCATTACAGTGCTATACCACAATTCCGGGAACTTTTTGACTGCCCTACGTATACTGCTGTTGGGGATCAGTCTTCAACTATCCAGTTCTCAAGTGTTTGCCTTAACTAATCTTTGCAGTGTAAACCCAGGTATGTGTGTTAATAGTCATAATGAAAACATAAAAATTTCATAAAGTTTCACAAGGGCTGCACAAAAACATAAAATTTTGAAAATATACTGTCCCCACTTTGTAAGGTTATGTTTTTGAATATAAGATATTGCATACAGTATGACAGAAATATACATTTATGAATACCTTCTGTCCAATGTTGTACTTGTGTCCACATTACTTGGCCAGTTGATGAGGACTCTGTCAAGCCACACAGAGGATGAAGCTATTATTTTTGTGGCTTTATTACATTTTTATCAGTTTATGAGATTGAACTGAACTTGGAAAGGAATTTGAGTTACATTATGTATATTTTTGTAACAAATTAATGGAAACATGACACAAAAACTCAAACTGAGGTTTTAAACTAAGTCAGTATTTAAATAACAAGAGTTTTATTAAACCTTAATGTGATTTTTTAAAAAGTAAATGTTATGTGTATGAATGAAGGATTTATGTTAACTGTGTGTGAAATCTACATTTTGACACCAAAGGAAAGAAAAATACTAGTAATATTGGAGCATTTGACTATGATGATGAATATGTAATATTTGAATGAATGGTTGTTTACTGTTTGATTGAAAGTTAAATAATTCTAATGGGTCAGCATTGTAAATTGCTATATATTATGGTTAGAAATGGGCACATGATAGTAAAGTTATTACCCATGAGAAAAACATCAGCTCTGTACTTACAGGATAAAGAGCATAAATAAAGTTAAGATCCAAGTCTTGATTGCTTTACTGGTAAGTTGTTAACTGCCAACTCAATATTGCTTGTAAGAAGAGGAAAGAAATTTAAAATCTAGGTAGGATCAAGTGTTGAGACAAAAATAATAATTTCAGAAATTATTTTTAGTAATCACTTTAAAAACTGTTTGTGTGTCATCTACTTTCCAAATCCTCAACAGTGAAGGTGTGTAAAAACCCTTTTTTCATCTATTAAACATTTCTTCTTCTCTTTTTTTTAAAGACCGGTATATATGTTCGGCTACTCAAAGAAATTACATGCTATTTATGGATCCTGGATGTTCACTACCATGTTCACAAGTATGCTTCTGCTCCCATCTATGCCTAGGTCTTGTGGTCTCTTCCCTCTAGATTGTACAACCAAAATTTTGTACACATTTCTCATTCCTCCTTGTACGTCACATGCACCATTCATCACGTTGTCCTCAATTTCATCACAACATCTGGTGAAAAGTAAAAATTGTGAAGTTCATGATTATGTGATTTTCTCCATTGTTCTAACAGTTCATCCCTGTTAGGTACATTTGGACTGTTCTCAGATATTCTCCGTGTTAACATGTTGTCAACATTGGTCCCCAAATGTTGTGTGGAAGTATCTGTCCTGTTTCTGAGTATGTAGTTGTATGACCCTGACCCAAACAATTAATACGGAATACAAGTATCGTAACTGTGTATTTTGTTCTTTATTTGTGCCATGGTACTGAAACAGCACCCATTATGATACAGGGTATTTTGTACAATAATTCTAAGTTGCAACATTCGCTCCTCTTAAGTAATCTTTAGATTTGCTAGACATTTCCTTATCCTGTTTGATACTTCTGAATTGAGGATAGGTAACTTTGCATCATTCACATTGAGATAATTTAATCATGCATTTCAATTTCACTAGAGTACGAGTTTTTTGCCTGTAAAGTTGTTTAATTAGTACTATGTATGTAATGGGCAAAGAGATCATGTACATGAAATATTTATCTTTCATCATATATTTGTGATACCATAGTTGTGAGTGCATCATTCATATTGTACTTAAAATATTTAATTAGGAACTTATTCAGAAGATAAACAGTATCTTATGTTCTGTACATGAATATTCTCTTACAGTTCAATCATATATCATACAGATTTCAACTTAATTAAAGGCATTGTATAATTCACATAAAAGCCACCACGGTGGTCTAGCGATTAGAATGCCGGGCTTGTAATACTGGGGTCCCAGGTTCGATTCCCAGCGGTGCTCAGATTTACAACTTGTGTTGGGCAAGGCCGTGGTCCAGGCATCACGGAGTTTTCCTCCGGTGTTTCCCCGGTTTCTTCGCTGCATCCCAACAATTACTCCACTTTAATCATCATTTCGCAAAAAGGGGGTCATAGCAGGAGCGTTAAATGTCCCGGTCGAACCCATGTACTGATGGGTCGTGAATCCTGCTAACCACCAATGCACACCATGCTGAATGGTGTGTACTGGATACAACAAAAATCACATAAAACAAAATTGTCCTAATATGGCCATTTGTGAAACTAAAGTGAGGGAGACGAATGGAAGACAGAAAAAAATAAGACTTTTATCAGTCAGTAACAAGAGAAAGAGATATCCCATAATAAAGAAGACATCCTTTATTGTACACACATACATATTAGAATTGCCAGCCATTAAAACATTTGAGGATCTCATAGCGGTGCATCCAATGAAGGCCATCTTCTGGGTTGTAGCACAATGTACACTGGTAGAACATTTCAGAAACAACAAAGACCTCTGAAATGTTGGTGAACTTCTACCAGATTACATGGCGCTACAACCCAGAAGACAGCTATATACCACTACAATAATAATAATAACATCATGAAGTCTTCGCAATCTGAAGAAGCTTCTCCTTGCTCTCTGAAAACTGTGTCAGGTACTCCACTTCAAGAGGATGCAGGTGTCCTGCTATTATAAGGGAGTGGAGTGGTGGGCCCAGATCAGCATCCTTCATCTCTTGCAGTGTGCAGGCCAGTATCTGTTGTGTGTCAGAACCAACGCGTGCCACCCCAACACACAGAGTGGTACCTGTGTATGCTGCAAATCATGGAGTATTACAGTAATATTACTATTGTCTACATTTGGGTCTGTGCTGTGACAAGTTCTTGTCACTTCCATACATATTAGAACTTGAATAAGAAATCAGATCTGAAATGGAGGATTGTCTATAAACTCAGAAATTCAGACTCTACCTCAAAGAAAATGCAACACATCTCCGGTACAAAGATAATTTGGTTAATGCTGTTCAGGGAAAGAATTGGTATTAATTCTGAGAATAATATAAAAACTCATCAGTACAGTATGGGGGCAAAATGCAGAGTTATAGATTGTTAATGCAGTTGGTACATACAGTTAACATTGGAATTTAAAGGTTTCAGTTCATATTTTACAAAATATATTACATCTCAAGAGAATAAATTCATACATGTGAAACAAAAGGGTAACATTAATGCAGAATGGAATTATGAGAGGAAGGGTGGAAGATTATAGCAATTAGAAATAACATGGAAAGAGAAAAGTAGCAGTAGATGAAAAGAAAAGTGGGTACTGTTCTACATAGGAATGATTTGAGATCTCAGCCAAGTATCAAAAAGGGGAAGTCCCATTTAAGAACCAGGGAGGGAGATGTACGTAATGTGAGATCTTTTAGGTGTGGGTATAGGTATAGAAAGATGTTTGGCTGCGAAAGCTGAAATAATTAACTGGTGGAGAAAAAATTATTTATGGGGAAAACATGAAAAGGAGTGACACACACCGAATTCCTTGTGATCTCGATGTCTTCTGCTGATGATTTCTAACAGCTGACCAGCTGCTTCACTGACAGACATAAAGCGAGGCGGTTGGTATTCCTTTCTCTTCTTTGTTAGACTTTCTAATGTTGGCTCCTTTACACGGATATCTGTATCAGATGGTATTATTGATACAATAATATTCAATAGATTTCAATTCTACATAAGACAAAACAGATAATGTAAGAAATACAAAAGGGACGCAGAGTAAAATGCTGAAGTAACAAAATTCATGAAACTCATATTATTTAACTGTTTCATGACAGTTTACAAATTGGATTAAGTTAATACATTTTGCTTGATGTTATGCCTTTTATTAATATCACTAACTTAATTAGTATATGGCAGCAGAGAGAATAAATATAAAAATATATTTTAAAAATGGTTACCTAGGACACAATAATTTCACTGCAGTCAGAGTGGATTAAATTATAACCAACAAGCCTTTGCCTATTTTCAATGTCTGAAACATTCAGTTTAGGAGTCAAGCAAATGAAATATAATTGAAAGGTAAAATATATCAAACGTCTGACTGTGTTTATGATACCTTACCTAGGAGGCACAGTGTGTGCAAACCACGCCTTCTGTTTCCAGCAATTTTATCATAGAAACTGTCTGGTTGCCATGATTCAGACCAATATGGGATAGACACTGTTTCTCCAAAACTGTAAAGCTGTAAATAATATTAATAGAAAGCTGCAGATAATACCCACAGTGAACTGTAAAAATTTAAACCTTAACAGAATATCATATGGCTCTAGTTTGTTTCATGGTTACTGTATAAAAATTCTGAATTGTCATAGTAACTAACCTGAAGCCCACAACATCCCACAGCATTTAGTATTGATGCATTGTGAATTATCTTGCAAGTGATACCTGCTTCTCTGGCACGGAGAACCAGGTCTGTGTGTGTAGTTGCACCAAATGGATCTCCTACAACCAGCAATGCTATGTCTTTTGAATTTGCATCTTGAAGAATTTCATGTGCTCCTTGTTCAACAAGATCACGGTCTGCTATGATCAGGTTCCGACCATAAAACTGTTCCTGTGTGTTTGGATTTCTGCATATTATTGGAATTCATATCTGAGTTAATAAATTTGTAATAAGCGTATCTTATTGTTACTAACTCTTGTGGGAAGGCTTTGTTCTTCTCTCCCGTATCCTTCCTGATCATTTCTGAGAAAAATACTTACATTTTAATATGCGGGGAGACAATTTTTTTTAAACAAAGGGACCATGATGTTCGCTTGTTCTTCAAGTTTGATTAGATATAAGGGGAACCAAACTAAACCTAATCAAAAGGTGCAGTACGCGACCAAAGTTCGTAAGGTGGTGGGAAATATGAACCGTGTTCGGTATTTAACTAATAATTTTAAGAAGGAACTTACTCCCTAACCTATAAAAAATAAACATAACCATACCAAAGCCTCTTTACCGACTGTTAAAATAGATGTATAAACTTCCAAGTAAACTCTTTCAGCTTTCTTTACAATTTCTAGTCCTTTGACTGTGATGTCTTCAGCCTCTCCAAGTCCTAACCCAATTATAAAGAACATATCCGAACAACACAATTTTTAGATTCCCTACTACCTATAACTTCATTGATGCCACATTGGACAATTTTGAAAGTTCTTGCTAGTTTGGCAATGTAGCAACCATAGATAACTACCTGCTCGCAACTTGTAGCGGTTAAACAAGCGATATAGGAATATTTATGATTGGCCGAGATGCTTACATGTGAACCAATAGCTGGACAAGTGTGATAATCTGTGAACTCATTTTGAAATCACAGTTTTAGTGTAATTATTACGTGGTATGTTTGGTATGGAGAGATTAGGATTGTACTGGTGATTCAAACATGTTTATCTCGGATGTTGTAGGAAGCAGTAAAGAAGAATTGCACAATGTAATTGTATATGATTTACGACATATAGGAGTGAAGCATAGAATTAAAAAGTCGGCCTGTAAGAATTCACAGGTGAGATGCCACTTAGAGACGTTGGGTTGGTTATGAGATTGCTATGCATTTCCAGTCTCGAATAAGTTAATAATAATTTTTACCATATTTTCAGCATCTTAAACACGGCAGTACAGACACGAAGGTATTTAAGGTGCCACTTCATCACCTTGTCCATGAAGTTGTATTCCTAAATTTTGGAACAGCTATTGAAGTCCCATGTTTTGTTGCAAGGGCCTGTTCATATATAAAACAGCACATACAGACTGAAGGAATTTTTCGAAAAGCAGGCTCAACTTCTCGACAGAGAGAATTGAAGGTATGATATATCTAGAAAACTACAGAATCAATTTAGCAAGGACATTTACTGACATTTTATCATAATGCTAATGTTCCTGGACTTCCTCTGTTGACAGTTTGAAGGTTGTGTAGACAAATGGGAAGAATCATTTAACCTTTATCTAAAACTTTCAGTATTTTTGACGTTGGCACATTGAATTCATTGTACTTTGCCTACTTTTACTTTATAATAAAGTGTTGAATAATTTTTGAGTGATCCATCTAACAGTAAAAGTATATATACTATGCAAAATAAAATAATTAGAATTATGGTTGGTACCAAATCAAGGAATTTGTATAGAAGCCTACTTCTGAAAGTATAAATTTACCTCGTCCTTCTGAATATATATTTTCATTAATCATCTTCATCATAAATAACCGGGAACATTTCCAGACAAATTCAGTTAAACACAAGGAATAAGGACTATGCTGGCATCAAAATCTTCATCATTCTATGACCTAGTCTCAAAATGTGTATTGGATAAAAAGGAGAAATGTAAAGTAACACTAAAAAGATTCTTAAATACCTTTTATTGTTTCGATGAATTCCTACAGTTAAAAGACGACTCATAATCCTTTTAGAGGCTACTATACTTACTTACATAATATAAATTGTCATTAGTAGCATAACCGTTGTGCTGCAATGGATTTAGTGTAATATTTTACATTTTCATGATGAATCTTTATCATTTGTGAATCCTAATTGATATATAAAATTATACTCATCTGTATGTTTCGTACTTATGAATTATTTCTCATCCTATAGTCTGACTAACTTTGGATTCATACCATATTTAGTTTCTTCAAAATTATTTGTTCTTAAAATATGAGTGCATGTACTACACAAAACGTGTATTTGTCAATAGTAAGGGTGCATTTTTTCAGTCTTACATGTCTGATAAGAATTTTAAGTTTTCAGCAATATAAAGTAATAGTTATGGCACATTATATCCATTAGCTCATTTGAATTTTGTGCAGGCATCCGTGGAATGTGGCAAGATGTTTGGGCCTGAACACCATGTAATTGATGTAGCAAACATTTTGAAAAAGTTTTTTAGGGAGCTACCTGAGCCACTTATACCACATGCATACCATGAAGTACTGCTGAGGTGAGTGATCTGCAAGTTGAAGTTATTTCACTGATTGTAATCTTTTTATTGGTTTATGAATTTTCCTGAATTCATAGAATACAACTTACTACATGGAACTGAGTCCTTCCTGAGAAGCCAATGGTTACTTAGCCAAAAATTCCCAACATATAATGGAACCTGAAATTTCATTACCACGTTAACTTGAGCCTGCCACTGGACCCTATCCTGAGCCAGATGAGTCCAGTCCATACCAGCCCATCCTATTTCTCTAAGATTGATTTTAGTATTATCCTCCCACCAACGTCTAGGTCTTCCTAGTGGCCTCTTTCCTTCTGGTTTGTCCACCAAAACCCTGTATAGAGTCCTCTTCTGTCTCATGTGGGCTGCATGTCATGCCCATTTCATCCTCGTTGACTTGATCAGTCTGATTATATTTGGCTAGGAGTATAACTTATGAAGCTCCTCATTATGCAACTTTCTCCAGTCCCCTAGTAATTCACCCCTTTTGGGTCAAATATTATCCTAAGCACCCTGTTCTCAGACACCCTCAGTCTGTGCTCCTCCCTTTGTGTCAGAGACCAAGTTCTACACCCATACAAAACTACTGGCAAAATTATAATTTTGTTTATATCAATATTTACATTTTTAGACAGCAGATGAGAAGATAAGAAGTTCTAAATTTGGAAATAATACATCAAATTTTTAATCAAAATTTCACTATTCATCTGTTAAGCCTAAATTAACAGGTATAAAAATCCATTTGAGTGTGCATTTGAATGTGAATGTGGCTTTTGGGAACTATGAAAAATAAAGGGTTTCAAATTTGTCTTTTTAAGACTGATCTGTACTAATACTTTGTATTACACTTTTTGCAGATGTTTGCTGTTAAAGGATAATAAAACAGAAGGAATACTTTTAACATGTCTGCTGATACCAACTGTACACATAAACACACTAGCATATTTGATGCAGGTGAGAATATAACATTAATTTTTGGATTTGTATGATTTCTCTTTCAGTTGAACTTGTTAATTCTAATCCTTCTGTCATGTACTACCACTGCCATCAACAGTAGCAGCACAAACTTGGTATGAAAAGAACATTTGCACTAAGTAGGACTTGAGGTTTTAATGGTACTGTTCAGTGTAGAGTGCTGAAGTTTTAAAGGTAAAAGTTCTTTGGAAAGAATGCAAATTAAATTCTGGTAATTGTGTAGGAAAATGGAAATAACATTTTAATCACATGAATTATTTTGGTTTGATTCTGTGGGGCGGTCAAGGCCTGTAATAGGCTGTAGAACCCGTGATGATGATGATAACGGTTCCTGATGGATCATTACAATTTAATATTTATTTATCATGTTTTAAACACAACTACAGAATTTGTTTCTTAATTTGTAACACTATGTTCAATAATATCTTTATAAAGTAACAGAGGTTCATGTTCCACACAAATTTTGCCTCCTGAATGATTTTTATATATAGAATAAGTTTTTGGAATAAATTACAGGGAATGTTTTTAGACCTACGAAGCAAAAAAAGAAGGTCTTGAAATGCAGCCAATCTTTATATGCTGATATTAAAAAACATACAATTTTTATTTTTATGTATCATAGTAAGCTGTCCCACTATACGCCATGTAGGCACATTGGGGGAGTGGAGGTAGAGCTCCTACTCTTTCTTGACCTCGGTACTAGATGGGGATTACGTATCATACTTCTTAATAATTGAGTAATGCATCAAACATAAAATAACATTAGCACTAAATCTGGCATTTTTGTTATAGATTTATATATAGGTTCAGGCATTTGTAACATTTGTCTGAGATGTGACTGTATCTTCTGTTGTATTTTATTACAGTTCCTCCAAGAGGTGGCATCTCATTCTGACACAAACAAGATGGATGTGACAAATTTGGCACTCATAATTGCTCCTTCAGTTATGCCTGTAGAAGAGAAGATAGTTGTCTATGGCACATCAAGGCTCAGTCATCACGTAGAAGTTGTTGAAGTGTGTAACCAAATGTCTTCCTGAAGCAGAATTCTTTAACTTTTGTAGTATATTTTTTAATAATAATTAGGTTGGCAATCAGTTGTTCCAAATGGTACTGGACTACAAAGGATAAAATATTTTGTGAAGTTGGTCATGATTAATGCTTAAGGTGTTCTCATTTCTCTTGCAGTTCACTTGTTGCAACTCTTGTTATAACATTTATTTAAACTGAGTATCATTGACGGGGTATAAATTCTTGTTCAGCGTGTGTGGTCGTCACTTTACACAGCACATTTTCACCCTCAGATACTTCTGTAGCTTTCTGAATGCTGGCCAGTGACAGTCAGTCTTTGGCTGATTGCTACCATTTAATTCTGATATGGGCCT